TTCTCTGTCCAGAGATATTGGATGGTTTCTGGTTGTTGTGAACTCTGGATGCTGCGATTCTGGACTTTTTGACCACTGAACATTATGAGCTCTGGTCGTTTCAATACGCATTCTCCTTCCCCCGTCCGGCGAGGGGCGGCTGCGGCCCGCACCTCACGCTGTACAGCTGCGTGCGATCCTGGCATCAGTGGTTGAGCCGTACAGCCAAGCCAATGAGCGAGCTCTCACAGCTTGCTGGTACTTGGACTGACTTGCATGCGCCCCGAACGACCATCAATGCCTGGCCATATCTCGTATCCCGTACCTTGACGTGTCGGCGGAGCAGGGGAGGGCACCGGCCAGTAACTGCCTGGCAACCGGTTGTGCAAACGCCTCGGCGTTGTGCAGCATGCAAAGAGTGGGGACATTGCACCGTATTCTGTGAAATTGGTACCATCTGTGAAGGAGCGTCACGCGATAGGTCGCTATGTTTTCTTTCACAAACGCCGTCCAGGACGCGTGAGAAAAGCTGAGCTATCAGCTTGCGTTATATTTGGGTGATCTGGCTGGAAGAGTGGCTACTAATCTGCCAAAAGCTCCCTTGTTACGTATGTTGAGTTATTTTTGATTGAAGGCTCTTGAAACCAACAAGCATGCATCGACAGATGGGAAGGTCTTCTGAACACAAGAACAGCCTGCAAATTTGAGAACATGCTGCAGTGATAATGGCGTGCGACTGTGGCATAGCTGACCCGAAGTTCACATGGTCGTTGTTCTTGTCGAGTCACTGTTCTGGAAAATTCACACAGAAAAATGCACATCGTTATGCGTAACAAGGTAACGCTTTAATATTTCAAGCATTTTAGTTTCTACAATGTGTTTAAACAGTCGCCCTACTAGCAAGGTGTTTGACCCCCCGGGCACGCGTGAATGTCATTGTCTTGTTTGCTCCATACCCTGGTATAAAAAGGCATGCGGTAGCTCGGACAGAAGAAACTATCTACATGCATGCTTTTCGCTGCGGATTGAGCGCATCGGCGTAACATAATCAGCTCAGCATGTAGACATACCGACCGATGCCTAAAATGGCACGGGTGTGATTTCATGTAGTTATACCAAATGTATTAACATCACTTTTATTCTTAGTTGGCAGGGAAACATCTCACAAGGGGTTCAAAAGACAGAGTGTACTACAGCGAGTATCACCGATGGATAACCAGAACGTATGGCATCTGGTACAAATGTACCGTCACGGCAGCACCACTGTGCTGCGACGGAGGGGCGGGTGGAGCGGTCGCAGGGCCAGAGCGCGGCAGCGAGCTTGGGGTGTGCTGTCGGCTTCGGGCGGGTGGGAGCAGCATACGTGGAGCACGGACGTGGCACACATTCTTGGTGAGGCGACTGCATGACATGACAGGTGAGAGTCGTTGACAGGATGAGTCGCGTGACAACACTGAGTGCTCTGATTGTACCGCCGTCACAAAGAATTTCGAGAGTCGCATGTAGGCCGAAGTAGAGCTATAGAAACCAATTAGTTCAGAAGCACATGGTGCATGATTCAGCACTAAGCTGCGAAGAAAAATGTGCCCAAAATGAGCCGCCTGTTTGCGGATAAGCGGTTTGTGTTCGTTTCACCTAGCATAGTGCAAATGAATAAAACGGTTAGGGAATGAGGTTCGAGAATGCACCCTCCATGCATGACGATAGATATGCGAGTAACCTGTGGCGACGACTGTACGCAGGGAGTGCCATAGCCAGAGGTCAAGGGACTGTCTGCCGTGTTACCTACCACCAGCCAGAAACAATTTACTGTACATCAATATCGCTTGTCTTCCTACGAACATCCACGTCGGTTTTTCGCACCGCGTAAAAAGTAGCGACTAATGTCACCATCCATTTATCAGTTACCAAGTATCCAACAAAACAGCACGACTCAATTGGAGAGCACTGAATAACCGGCACGTTGCCGATTTGACGTCCTCTCTTTAAGGAAGAAGCCTACTTAAATTCGACAGATTCTAAATAATCGGTATCCTCTCAATACATCTCTTCTTGAAACGAAGATCTAGATGCATGTTCATGTTATATCTAACTCCAGAACTAGATGATAAACACGTCGCTGTCTGATTATGTATTTAGGTCCCAGCCATGAATATCTTAAGATTTCAGTTCTGTTCTGTAAAGAGCAATTATCAACAGCCCTCGCGTGGCTGTCAGAGTTGCCCACAATCCGCCACGCGGAGGTGGCCACGACAGATTGCGTCTGTTTTCCATAGAAGAGCCCCTGTTTCAGCGCAAAGCCATGCCAGGACAGGAAAGGGAAAGATCTATCTACTCCAATCTGACCATCACATCGGGCAACACGTCAGGCACCTTTCGCTGAATACAACGGCACCGCCCCTAACGGATGCACGAGACACAGAAGAACAAAGCCGAAATGTCTCAATGACCCCATGCAGTGTCGCATAACGGCTAAGCACGAGTGCAACGTGGATGCCACTGCTGGCCATAGTTCGTAAGTCAGTGAGTCTACGGCCGCCAGCAGCCGACCCCACAAGCCAAGAGATCCAAGCAGCAACATCTGAGACCGGACGGCCGAGCTTAGCAAACCAACGCGCACGAGTGGATGAAAGCTGACAATAGACAACACACATTTTTATGCAGTTTCACATTTTTACTAGGGGCTGGATGACATTACCACCGCGGCCTTCGCTACCCACGGCTATCTTACGGCAAACGCATGCCGAACAGATGATCGGCACTGTTGCTGGCAGATAGCCAGCTACGGGCGCTGCAAAACCGTTCACGGCTCCACCAACAAAGGCGACGGCCCTGACACTCTTGGCTGACTTCCAGAACAACTGTCTATCATGTGAAAATCTATATGCTTCAAAACGCGCCCGGTCTGCATTGACTCAAGCTGAGCAAACATGAACTGATGCTTACGGGTTCTTTTGTTTGAGCCTCTGCGCCGTGAGTGATTGACGTACCGAGACTGTTCGCTTCAGAGAGGGGCGGTGAGCCTTTTGCCAGCAACTCTGTCCACTCTGTCGACTGTCCCCACCCCTCTGTCCACTGTCATCACATGTTTTCCATGTCCGCTGGGCGCCACGTCCTGTTACTGGGTCATCTGCTCCGACATCGGTGAGCTGATCATTGTGGTCATTATCACGTCTAACGCTAGGATCACCAACATCAGCACAGTTATGGTCATGCTCATCATCCAGGTCACGGCTTCATGTTGTACAATCAGAGCAAAGTTGACATTGCGTTGTGCTGGCCGCTCTTTCGCTGTTAGCTGCTCGCACTCAATCCCAAATTTTCTCCAAGTCTTTCAGTGCTATGCCATCTGCTCGAGTGCCATGGCGGGAAGCATTGCATTTGCGCATCAAGGTGTGACACAGGCAACATGTCGATTTCGCCGAACTTTCGAGGCAAACCTTTGTTCGCAAATTTTGGCAGCGGTGCGTGACGGACATTGACAAAGAAGAGGTGCACGTCAGAGAAAAAGAATCTAGCGTGTCTGAAGACGAAATGAAGAACGGGGTGATATATTACCACCGAATGACCAAGCTGATAACGAAGAGACCGGGAGTAAGGATGGGGAACGTGCACTGGTAGTTCCGGAGCAAGCTTGGCAGGATGAAGAGCACCGGTGGAATGCAGGAGACATGGAAGGCCTGCAGAGACATGCTTGGTGACCTGCATGGCCTGCCGTTAATTTCAGAGAAGATTGCTTCATACATATTTTAGGCAGGCCTTTAAAAAAGAATTGGGAAAACCCAGGCACATTAAGGCAAAACATACTATGGACAGGCAAATGTGCGCGATAAGACGGAGCTATTTCTGTACTCAGGTGATTGGAAACATTCTAAAATCATCAACCACAATACATTACATGCAATACTTCAAAAAATGCCGATGCATCAATCTGCATGGCCTCACTGAAACCTCAACACTCCACATGCCCACAAATAATTCATTTCACCTGATCGGATGCATGCGTCAAAGCACCAAGTGGAAGCTGAAATAACAATACCAATGCCAACTTTAATCATCCTAAAGGTTTGTCTCATAAATTTCAGTACACTAAGCAAATTTTGTTCCATTTAAATGCAGTTAATCGTTGACATGAGTTTATAGGCTGTCATGCACAATATTATGAACTACACTTTACAGTGCAGCAAGAAATTGCAGTTTTGGTGTATGTTGTGACTTACATCCAGCAAATGATCCAACCAAGCTTATTCAAGGCCAGTCACCCTTTAAGGTCAATATTCTATTATTCTTTTAATTGTCAACATCTAGGGTGAATATTCTGATATTTGCAAGTTTAAATCAGCCAGTAACTTTGAGTGATATGAAGTTTCTCGTCCTTGGAGC